CCCCAAAACCCCAAAACCCCAAAACCCCTTCTGAGGTTTGGTGGTAGAATAAAAATATTTTTGTAGGAGGAAAATGAGTAGGAGGGAGAAGGAGAGGATGAGTGGAAGGAAATGTAAGCTAAATCCACCAATAAAATTACCTAAACAAGCCCACACAAGAGTTGTGTCCATCTTCAAGGTATCCTATCCGCCTCTACTATAGAAAATGAACCATGAAGAAGTAGCCGATAACTCCGATTACGAAGAATTTGACCAGACTTTACAGATATAAGAGTACTTTTTAGAGTTATGAGTAGAGGAGAGAGAAACTTTTAGAGCAGCTGAAAGCATTGAAGGTCAATAAAAGGTCGATCTGTGGGACTGTTTCGGGGTTTAGGAAGGTGCATAGGGAGCAGAAAGAGAGAATTGGGAAGTAAGGTTAGGCTGAAATTGTATGTAGAGTCAACCAGATTTATAAGTCTCTTATAAAAGTTTATTCAAAGAATGAAAGAGGGCTCTCTCGAACCAATAGCAAAATGAACAGCTCATGTAGTGTTGATAATTAATAGTTTAGGCAGTGATTTTGGAGGCTTTAGCAGCAAGAATATCTCTACATCAAAGAAAAGGCAAAGCCAAGCAATGGTTAATAAAGAACTTATCAAAGTCAGTGATAGAGACGTTGACAGAATTATATAAAGAACATAAAGAAGAGAACTCAGAGGTACGAGCAACGGATGAGTGTCTCCCAATCTCACAATGAATTTCTTCAGTCAACTCGTGGGGAGAGAGCCATGGAGAAGTATAACAGCATGATGGAAACCTGGAGGAAAGACTCAAAAATAATATCAGGAAAGATAAACAGAGCAATTCAAGACTCTGTATTTGTCCGTTGAGACGGATATAGAAAAAGAAAAGAAATTTTAGACAAAATGGATGCTGAGAAATCTTCCTCTGAAAGGATAGGATCACTTTATGCTTTCAAAATGATGCTCCGAAGCGAAAGGACAAATCCAAAGCTGTTTAAAACTGCAATGGGGACTCAGATTAACTCTCCAGAAAGAGACATTTCGTATGGAATTGATCAAGATCAAGAGGACTATAAATCAACTCTTAAAAGAAAATCCTCGATGGACTGACAAGTTCCTTCTAAAAAGATTGCTAGTTTGCTTTCTGTTGAGAATTTAAAGAAAAGGAAAAATTCCTCTAATGCCCCAATGAAGAAGTTTAAAAATACAACTTTTAGTAAAGGAATGGATTACCAATTTCTTCAAGAAGTAGGCAGATCGAGCGGAATCTGGGTTCGGATGAACTCTCGTGAGGAAAATAGGCCTCTCAAAGGAACTATTGTCAGAAAACCCCTCTCATTCTATGAAAGAAGCTATGAAAATATGAATACCAGAGGATCATCATTACATGAGGGTCCAGCTCAAGCCTCCAGCTTCTCATATAATTCAACAGAAAGGAGTAGAACTAATGAATTTTCCACTAGAAGGTCTAGGATGCGCAATACGTCGTATTCTGGCTTTCCAATGTCTGCTGCAGAAGCAGATCAGTATGAAGGGATTGAAGTGATAGGAAGAAGCAAGCTTGAAGCAGAGACACTCTATGTCAAAAGTATCCGAGACAAAGTGCTTATGAAAAACCATATCTTAAATGATGATGGAGAAGGGGAGCCAACCCATGATGAAGAAGAGCTATAATTAAAACATCAATCTCTTGGAAGTAGTAAGGGGTTTTGGGGTTTTGGGGTTTTGGGG